CTACTCCTTTGAGCCACAGGCACCACCCAGCCCAGCTATTCTTTTTTTGCCCTTGTTGTTTAGCTGGCCCAGACTGGGTTCGAACCCACCAGCCTCGGTGTATGTGGCTGGTGCTGTAACCATTGTGCTATGGGCGCAGAGCCTACCTGGCTACTTTTAAATATATATATATATATACACTATGTATGTTTTACAGAGATGTGGGGTTCTTGCCATTTTACCAAGCTGGTCTCAAGTGATCCTCCCATGATGGCCTCCCAAAGTGCTGGAATTACAGGTGTGAGCCACTGCTCAGCTGCTAAGTGTAATGTGTTCAAGGTTCAACCACGTTGTAGTATATATCCTTTTTAGTGGCTGAATAATTTTCCATTATATGGATATAGGACAGTTTATTTATTCGTCAGTTGATAGAATTTATTGAGTTTAGTGCCAGTCGAAAGGAAAAAATTATTGAGTTGAATTAATAAGGCTTCCTGAAGATGGAAGAGAAGGATAAAAGATACAGAACTTCCCCCCCCCCCAAGATAGACTCTCTGTCCCCCTTGGTAGAGAGCTATGGCATCATAGCTCACAGCAACTTTATTTTATTTTATTATTATTATTATTTTTTTAGAGACAGAGTCTCACTTTATTATCCTTGATAGAGGGCTATGGCATCACAGCTCACAGCAACCTCCAATTCCTGGGCTTAGACGATCCTCCTGCCTCAGCCTCCCGAGCAGCTAGGACCAGATGCCCACCACAATGCCTGGCTATTTTTTTTGTTGCAGTTTGGCTGGGACCAGGTTCAAACTTGCCACCCTCGTATGTGGGGCGGGTGCCCCACTCACTGAGCCATAGGCGCCGTCCACTCACAGCAACTTTCATAGCAACTTTAAACTCTTGGGATCAAACAATTCTCTTGCCTCAGCCTCCTGGGTAGCTGGGACTGTAGGCACCCACCACAATGTCTGACTGTTTTTCGAGGTGAGGTCTCTGGCTCAGGGTGGTCTCAAACCTGTGAGCTCAGGCAGTCCACTTGCTTCAGCCTCTCAAGTGCTAGGATTATAGGCATGAAAAGATAAGGTATTTTTGAACAACTTCTTTTTTAAAGGTTGAGAGTAGCAGTCTTAAATGAGTAGATTTTTAGTTCAGCGGTTCTCAACCTGTGGTTCACGACCCCTATATTAAAGGTTCATAGCATTAGGAAAGTTGAGAACCACTGGTTTAAGTACTACCATAAACTATTACTTGTAAGTTATTATACAACTTCTCTTATATTTTAGGTAACAGAAGTACTTTATTTTCACAACATCTTCAGTAATTGTCCTCTCCTTTTTATGACAGGAAACTCTGAGTACTTTGGAATATGCTCACCGAGCAAAGAACATAATGAATAAGCCGGAAATTAATCAGAAACTCACCAAAAAAGCTCTTATTAAGGTAATTGTGAATTTTTGTGAAGTAATGCAACCTTTGACAAATAAGAAAACAACTAAAACACATAATCATTTTTTTGTTTTTTGCCCTTGGTAGAGTATTGTGACATAGCTCACAGCAACCTCAAACTCTTAGGCTTAAGCGATTCTCTTGGGCCCGCCACAACACCTGGCTATTTTTTTGTTGCAGTTGTCATTGTTTACCTGGCCTGGGCCGGGTTTGAACCTGCCGGCCTTGGTGTATGTGGCCAGTGCCCTAACCTGTGCTATGGGCACCGAACCTCTCTTTACTTTTGTATGTATTTTAAAAACTTCTATTAAGGAAAATTTTGAGGTAAGGAAAAACGATATTTAAAATTTTGTTTTTGTTTCTATGAGTATGTCGATCTTTTGCCAAAGTTAGAGTGCCATGGTGTCAGCCTAGCTCACAGCAACTTCAAATTCCTGGGTTTAAGCCATCTTCCTGCCTCAGCCTCCCAAGTAGCTGGAACTACAGGCATTTGTCACAGCACCTGGCTAATTTTTCTTTTTGAGACTGGGTTTGAATCTGTGGCACTGGGTAGAGTGCATCTACAAACTCTTAGGCTCAAGTGATCCTTTTGCCTCAGCCTCCAGATTAGGTGGGACTGCAGGACCTGCCATAATGCCTGGTTATTTTTCAGAGATGGCTCTCTTGCTGAGGTTGGACTCAAACTTCTGAGCTCAAGCAATCCACTTGCCTCAGCTTCTCAGAATGCTAGGATTACAAGCATGAGCTAATGGGCCCAGTCTATTTATTTACATCTTTGAGACATAATTAATACAACATAATATCCACCTAATGTAAACATACTATGATTCAATGATTTTTTTTTTTTTTTTGAGACAGAGCCTCAAGCTGTCCCCCTGGGTAGAGT